AAAGCACTTTTATGTGCAATTGTTGTGCACCATTGAGAAGGTCAATGACAGGCTTTTATGCTCATTTTACTTCTTCTTCATTATTTTTTTCTTTCCTTTTCTTTTCTGTACAGTTTTTTTGATTCAATTCAATCATTATCCATTATTGCAAATTATATTTTCGATATTATAGTTTTATTCAATTCGAAATTAATGTAATTTATCAAAGTGTTGTGTGCTATTCATGAAATGTACTCTTGGTGCACATGAAGTAAGACTAAGTGTGAGAGACGTTGTGATATTGTAAAGATTTTTGAGGTTATGGATGTTGAGACGCATTGGTTTAATGAAAAATGTTTTGAGCTAGTTTTATTGGTTAAAATAGACAACGTACTTTAAATTGGCGATTTGAACGTCTAATCTAGGCGTCATTCATATAATTAAGTATCATACTTAAATAGATTAATATCCATCTTTGACAAGTGTATCAACCAGGTCTGTGTGCTGTTCAATAAACATTTTCAAGTGCACAATGATAAGCTTGGAGCCTGGACCTGAAGAGGTTTCAAAACCTCACCTCAATGGGAAATTTATTTAGTTTAGAAGCAGTGGTGAGCAACCTTTTTTGTGCCAAGGCACACCTTAGTGGTATGACATGACCAAAACTGCATACTTCATGCGGTTTGTGGGTGTTTTATGAATTGAGAGCTAGAGTTAAAAAATCGCAACAACCCCCCCACCCCCACCCCATTTTTTAAGAAGCACTGCATTTTTGAACAGATAATATTTTCCAAGATTCATGCATGATTATTAGCACCAATAACAAGTTCATTATCTTTAATAAATCATTTCAACTCCAACAACCAATCTGACAAGTCTCAGTTCCCATATTCTCCACAAAATAGCTAATAAGAAACAATTTTCACTGCACATAAAAGAAGAAACTTCTTATAGCCGTTGTTGTTGTTGCTGCATTTCGCGCGCGGCAATCTTGTCGGGCAAAAAAAAACTAACGGCTCAATATTCCACAATCATGTCCATCAGACGCATATAATGCATTGAGAATGAATAAAAAAAAATTTATAAAAAAAAAAGAATGGAAATTAATGGTGTGAAAAATGTTTTTCTGTTCATACTTTTTAGTGCCGGTACAGAGCCGCAAATCATCATCATAAAAGAAAATTTCGTTACGTTGATAATAATTGTGGGATTCTACACTACCTGGCACTTACAACTCAAATTGTGATTTAATGTTTAATTATTAAACTAGACTGGAAAAATGTGTGTGAGAAAAATCGATTCCCATAAGCGATAGCATGATTGACTTTAATTTAGCTTTTAAAATGTTTATGTTTGTAAAAATAATCGACTGCATGCAAAACTTTGGTCATTTTTCAATTGTTTTAATCGCTCAATTAAGTTAGCTTCAACTATATTTTTTCCATGTTCTTTTTTTCAATACTTTAATTTTTAACACAATAAATTTAACCTTGTTCATGTTTGTGTTCATTTTATCTGTGCTAAATCCACATGGGGGATAGAAAAATTATTATAGTGAAGATTTCACTCAAGGGGTGGACGAATTGGGGTCGGATGTAACTGTATGAATAACTTGACTTGGCTTGGGATTGAACCCACAACCTTTGGCACGTAAGGCTAACGTTCTAATGCTTAGGCTATTGATGCTATTTCATCGCTTAATGTATAAGTGGATTTATGTTATTGATCAATACTTTAAAAGAGTGTCATTTAAAATAAATAATGTAATTAGCCCCAAAATTAAACCTAGTTTAAAATCAGAAGATACAATTCAAGCAACAATCCTCAAAGTATCCACACCTTTCTACCAGCCGTCCACAATCTTAAGACGCTACATTCAATGCCATCAATTAAGAAATAAAAGACGATTTTTGATTAAAAAAAAAATCTACATGATGTATTTTGTAAATATAATTAAGGCTTTACTTAACATAAAATTATGCATTAACAGATTAATTTTACATATCTTATAATTACTTAATATGATCTACATTTAAGATTTTTTTTTTTTCATACATACATAAAGTGTATAATTTTCTGACAAAATCTCCAGCATGACAAGTTGACTAAATGCATAATGCTCTGCATTGCACTTTGAAGTGGGAATAAAAGATGAAAATGATGAGCATGGAAATTGTAATTGGGAGGGGTGGGGGTTAATGATGATGAGGCGCATTTAATTGAGTTTTAGGCTTGAAAAGCTTTTGAATGGAGTTAAGCGTGTCATGATCTTTGAACTAAAATCAATCGTTGTTGAGTATCAAGGCTACATCCTCAAAAATATGTAATGTGAGGACTAGGTTTTTTGAAGAGGTCCCTAGTTTGATTACAACTCAAAAAATTTCATTTCGTCACACAAAACCTTAAAATTTCAATATCAGAGAAGGATGTCTGGGTCCTAGGGTTTCCCATTTTGTTAGGTTAACAGCAGAGCAAGAAGATACCTCGAGATTTTTATCGATTTTGTATGGCGGAGTCGATTTGATTTCATACCAAGTTTTATCCACTTTAAACTCTGGTTGACGAGCTTTGCAAGACTAGTTTTATAGGCAATTGACTAAGTGTTGATAGAATCATCTTTCAAATATCCACAACATTCACAAAACAACTCACCAGCCATCAGCATAAGTTCATAAAATCAACCTTTATGATCACCAACTACATTTTAGACACACGGACAAATCACCACAATTAGCAACACAATATCAATCAAAACATATAGCTACAAAATAAAATTATGAAGAACACAAAGTGATGATCATTAAAAATATAAGTTTACATAGCGCGACGATGAACAAAACACAAAAAAAAATCTGTAATCTTAAAAGCAAGCAACAGAAAAAAAAATATAAAAATATTGTACACTGTAGAGTAAAAGCAAAACATGACAAATTATTGCATTCACGCACATTATGTGTTACTTTTGGCGTCATTTAACAATAAATTACAAAATAATGCATTTCGCACTCAACATCATTGCATCATTAAACGTTTACACACACAAAAAACATTACATTCATAAATTAAAGTTTTAAATGCATTAATTTTATTTTTTTTACCTTCTTTCTGTGGATTTTTTTACTGCATCTTTCTCTCCCGATGCTATTACGATTTGCCTTAATGTGCTAAAAAAAATAGTCACATAAAAAAGAGTAAGTATGAAGAAGAAGCTAGCGGTGTGTTTCAAATGAAAAGATCTTTTAAAAGGAATGTGCATTTAATATAGTTTGAGATATATAGAGATGGATAGATGGAAGTGAATGGTGAGGGATTTTTTTTTCATATTAAATACATGTGTTATTATACACTCGATGAAGTAATTACGATGAAATGGAGAGAGAAAAAAATCAAACATTTCTGTTTTTTTAAGCTTGAATTCCTCAGACTGATAATTTATTATTGACTTTGATGGATGAGTAAGTTGTGGATTCACTTTGTCCATGAAGTATAGTTTCTTTAACTATATGCGACATATAGAGTCGAAGGTAAGATTAGTTCCTATTGTAAGTTGCTAATCTCAAAAGTAGAAGATAGTCTTCAAAACAACCAAACAAATAGTCATCAGAGCTATAGATGTATTGTATTCCGATGGAGTTGAATTAGGCGGTTCATATCCTGAAGTGGTTGTGGCATTAGGTTTAAAACTTGAATAGATTGTAGAAGTTTCAGATGGTTCGTATTCTACAGTTGTTGTTGCATCAAGAAAAATAACTAAAAGTACGGAAAATACAAATTTATTACAATATGCTTTGGGGACGGTTTCTAGGACTACCCAAAACCAAAAAAACTTTATTGCAACCCATTGAATTCTTTACTCTATTTCCCTTTCGGCACTTTGCTACACAATTTCAACTACACTTTTCTGCTACTGCTACACTTTTTAATACATTTCTACGCTTTGCAACAAAATGCTCCGAGCTTGAGGGTCCTTGCCCCTTGCCTAGAATGCCCCGGGAGCTCTCGAAACCGAACTTTGGTACTTGGTCTAGGGCAGTGTTGTCCAAACTTTTTAAACCATGGCGCACCTTAGTGGTAAGTCATAAACGAAATCGCACACAGCATGCGACTCGTATCATTTTCAAAAAAAATCTACGGGAAACTAGTGTACCGCCGCACACAGTTTGGCCCTCCGCAGGTCTAGGTCATTACCTACTTCAGTTATCAGCAATCTAAAATTTTGTTGAAATAATCAAGATTATAGCAAGGATAAATTAACATAGACTAGTTTAAAGCTTGCCTATGATTAACCTTTAACGGGTCGTGATTAATAGAACTAGTTTTTTTCTAGATGTATCCTAAGATTTACCAAGAAATCGATTACAATATGGACATATAATAGTGTTGAACCAGGTTGAACTTACATGTTTTCATGAAATAATAAAATACGACTAAGCCAAATATAGTCAAAATAATCACAGATATAAAAATTATTATTATCTTCTTCACACATTTCCTTTTGACCGAACAATTACACTTAATCGAATTCCAAAATGTTTTAATTCTTTTTAAATACAACGTAGATTTTGAAACTTTTGTGTTTGTTCTTGATTCTGTAATTTAAATTTTTTACGAAATAAAATCATATTTTAAATTTCAGTTCTAGTTTAGCTACCATCAGATGTAATATAGCTGCAGAAATTGTTGTGATACACAATATTAAAGCTTTCGACATTTTCAACCTGTATATTTCCAGGACTAGTTGATTGAATTTTTGGTTCACTTGCCGAAGTATTCCTCAAATTTTCAATTTGTCGACTAATATCAGCGGCAGCTACTGAACTGCTAACTGTAGATGACGAATCAGTTCTTTTTAATTCTTGTCGACATTCTGCTATATTGCTTGAACTATCATTTCTGGACATTGAAATAAATTTATACTTTCACTTTGAACTTAGATTGTGAACTGATTCGTAATTATTTTGGGTTGTGTAACTGACTATCTTATCAAAATAACTTTACAATCGAATTTATAACTGGTGCGTTTAAATTTTTATATATGCAGTATAAGTCAGCGTGTGTGAGATAACTTTCTTTCCTGGAGAGTATCAACAGAATTGTGACTTAAATTAATAAATATCTTAAACATTAAATGATCCAAAAACTGCATAATTTTTTAAAGCGGTTGGATTAAAACAGTAGAAAATGGCCGTTTTTTATTAATTTTTTGATAAAATTGATTAAAGTTGATCAAAAAGTCTATACGTTGGTTAAAACCCAATTTCAAATGAAGATCCAATAAATCCTTTTTCCATGCCTTTGTTGTACTCGTAAATGGAGGTTCAAATCCTTTTGTGGTGGGCTTATATACAATAGTTGTAATTGGTGATTTTTCTGAGGTCAGAGGAAATTCAAACGATTTGGTAGAACTGTCATTTTCTGAGGTTATTGTGGATTGTTCGTTCTTAGATTCTGTTGTTAATGGAGGTTCAAATAATTCTAATGTTGTGTCCAATGAGCTTTCAGTACTTGTTTCGTCTTTTGAATAGGTTACCGTAGTTGTTGGTTCGTCAGTTTTAATTGCAGGCTCATAAGGTGTAGTTGAATCTGTTGTAAACGGAGTAAAACTTAGGGGCCATTCACTTATTACGTAACGCTTTTAGGGGGAGGGGGGGGGGGGGGGGGGGGGGGGGGGGGTCTAAGATTTTGTTACGGTTCAAACAAGGAAATTGTTTTTTCATACAAATTTTGTTACGAGGGGGGGGGGGTCTAAGAAGTCATTTGTTCGCGTTACGTAATAAGTGAACAGCCCCTTACTTATTTTTGTGAGAATAATGTATAATTATACAAAAACTATGTATAAGATCTTTTTATTATAATAAACGATAAGGGTCCCTTCACTTATTACATTACGCAAAAACCGACTTTTTTCACCCCCACCCCCCTCCCCCCCCTTGTTACAACATGTTACAACTCACAACCCCCCCTGAACGTTCATAATTCAAATTTTTTTCGTAAACTTTTTTTTAAAAGGCAGACGACAGTTAACACATTACATACTTCTTGACAACCCCCCCCCCCCCCCCCCCCCCCCCCTATGTTACATTTTGTTACAATTTTTCAAACCCCCCCTCCCCCCTAAAATGCGAACGTAATAAGTGAATGGCCCCTAACTCACACGACTTTTCCAATGAGTAATATGTGGCTATGCAGGAAGTTGTTAAAATATTTCCGATTGTCAATATTACTGCTATCCATCCAGCTTTCTTCCTTCTAAACAGCGTATTCCATTCAATCGAACACAATGGTTTCTTTAAACTGTCTAAATATACTGTTTTGGGACTCTTCTTGCTTGATTTTAGGGCTGCAATTGAAAGTGATTTAAAATAGAATTTTAACACACAAACCGTCGCATTGATTATGTCATCGACTCTACAAACAAATCATACTTTAGTTGCATTTAGTAGATAATAGTTTCAAGAGCACTGACTTAAAAACTAGATCAATTTACCATTTGATGAAGCATGATTGAAGTAATTGTTGTGATAAATAATGCTTACACTTTCAATATTTTTAATTTTTGTGTTTGTTGTATCGATTGTTTGAACTTTTGGTACATTTCTAAAATTTTCCAACTGTTGTCTAATATCTTCAGCAGCAACAGAACTACTAACTGTAGATGTTGAACAACTTCTTTCTAATCCTAGTTTATTTAAATTGTCGAACATTTTCGTACTTTAAAAAAATTTGTGTTTCCAAATTAAACTTTTACTTTCAACTGACTATTGTATAATGTTGGGCAATGAAGTCTTCTATCTTATCATAAACTCTCCAAAATTTCTCAGAAAAATAAAATTTATTTTTTTATTGACATATTATCGTCAGTGGCTCACAAACTTTGTGGACTGCAGCACATAGTTCATGAATTATCTTGTTGTGTTAATTATCACAATACTTATTAATTAATGGGTGAGCTGAAGTGGCTCGGTGGCGGAATGGTTTAGTACTTCGGTGCCTAATTATTGCAATACCGACACAGCGATCATGGGTTCGAGACTGGGTATGGGAAATTTTTCACTTGTTCTTTTTCGAATCATATGTACTGGAAATGAGGCTCACAGCCTTCCTTTGTAGGCTACAGACAGAAATGTCATCAAAGGAGTGGTTCGGATCCCACTATAAATTGTAGGTCTAGGTTTGAGTGCAGTGGTTTGGCGCATCCTCACTCGTTAAACTCTCATTAGCTGCGAATCGCCCTAGCGCACCTCTGGATCACAATTGATCTGAATAGGTAAAGGTTTTTTTTTTTTTTTTTTTTTTTTATTAATTAATAAGATTGATTGAAGAAGAAGAAAGGATTTAATTCAATGACAGCGATGTTTGTACTTCTCGAAATATCTGAAAGATTTGGTGACATTTTATTGTGTCGCGTTTTTTCGTTTGAAAAACACTGGTTTAGGACAAAGTTTGTGTCAGTACTTTCTGCACCCGAGTGGCAATGATCACCAAATCATTAAGGTATGAATTAAAGTAATGATAAAGCAACACTTTAGTGATTTTAACTGCTCGGGACAGTCGACAATGATAATAATACTGAAGCGATAAGCACATGCTATTCAATATTGTATTATTTTTCAGATAATGCGCCTTAGCCACTTCACAATCCCTTGCTTGTACTCGCTACTCATTTTTCTAAAAAAAAAACTACTATTGCTAAAGTACCACGAGCATTGCAGTTTCAATTGAAGACGATCAACTGTCCCTAACTATAAAAATAATAAATACAATTGCTTGCAATAACCTTGTCAAGTTTGCTATACGCAAGATAATTTCTTAATAAATTGCATAATTAAACATTAATAATAATAACTGCATGTCTTGCATTTTCACGTACATAAAAAGGTAATTAGGCGTAAAAGCTTTCAGTAGAGATTTATGTCACTTGATGTTGTTGCTATTATGCATGCTCATGACATTAAGAATTTTTTTTTTCTCTTCTGCTTCTCTTCTTTATTTATTTATTTTTTTCTTGTGTGCATTGTATTGTGCTTGCTCATTTTATTGTAAAGTAGCCAAATCGTAATTATAGCAGGAAGGCAGGTAATTTAATTAAAGAAATGAGATGAAGGATGAAAAGAAGAAAAAAGAAATATTTTTTAAAGTTGAGATAATTTAAAGGCTTGTGCCAGAAACAAAGAATCAGAATGATTGTTATTTTTTGTGGGACATTTGTTGTAACTTAAGCTTGTAATTTTTTGATAGAAAGTTTCATGTTGATGCTGTTGGTGGTTATTAATTGGTAAAAATTATGAGATTACTGTTGATGTAATTGTTTAATTGGGGAGACTTTTTCGAAGGAGATTGAACCTGTGTTTTGTAGAATCGTTGCAGCATAGCTACACAGCTAGCATGACCAAGTTTAAAAGGGAAATATTATATTTGTAGAGATTTTAATTAAGATTGCTGTCTTATCAATGATCCAGTTGTTAAAAATTAAAACTTCCCAATCGAAAATGATCCACAAGGGAAAAGACGTCCAGGAGCTTCAACAGCTACTTGGAGCCGACAGAGATATTGTACAAACTAGGTGGCAGAGCCAGCAACAAAGTCAGATGAAGAGCATTCTATTGTAACCTAAGCTCCACATGGTTACAGTAAGTAAGTAATCAAAAATGATTCAGCCCGAGTCTTCAAGACACTCGATCAAAATCATAGACCGATTGAAAATCCTTAGTCAAACTAAGGTTATCAATAGCAAATCAGGGCAAAGCTAGGGGGACGGGAGGGATCACATACCTTAAAAAATTTCAAGCCCCACTCAAAAAACTTCTCGCTACGCTTCTGCCTTGATAAATCCAATTTTGCAATGCCTGCAAGTTAAAATACCTCTCCATCCATGATCAATCTTTAAAAACTATCAACAACTATAAAACTTCCATTTCACTTACTGATCACTACTCCCCACATGCTCACATGTCTCCAACGGAATCAACAACAGCAGCAAAACCAATAACTCCGACAACCAACAATCGACCTCCTACAAATTAAAAATCAATTCACGATATATGCTTACAATAATCACAAAACAAAAAGCGTAAAACTTCAAAAGAAACAGAAATTTGTTTCTTATACCATTATCAAAAGCATATCAGCATCGCATAGAAGAATGAATGAGAGCGAGAAGGATATACAAGTAAAAAAGAAAACAATAAATGTCATTACAAATACGATATGTAAATATCTTGTAAATTTTTGCTGATGATCGGTGACCATGTTCATAATATAAAATTGCCATTCCATGCAATATGTTAAGCAAAAGAAACTTTTTTTGTTGCTGTAGTTTTAGCAGGGTTTTGTGAGGTATGATTGTGGGATATGATGTGGATTGTCTGAGAACTTTAGGGGCTCAATTCTAAGGCTACCCAGAGCACTTTATCATAGAATTTACAAGTCGGTTAATCGAATAGAAAGCCAGATTTCTAATCAATTATCCGAATTGTACCATTCATGATAGAGTATCTCGTGTATTCTTAGAAACCAGCTCCATGTTTAACGTTCAGGAAGTTGATCATTACTTTGGATTCTTGAGTTCAAATCCTGCCACTAGATTTTTGATTATCCACAAGTATATATGGAATTAGGTCACTTTTAGAATCGACTTATGATGGAAGCAACGTTAGATCTACCTCAACTAGCTAAGCAAGTGATATGCGCCTTGATTTCCAACACAAAAAAACCATCCTCAACTTATTTTATTCAAATAAACGACAAAGCTTTTTTTTATGCACTCATTTGTGTGTGGCTGGTGGTTGCAGGTAAGCTCTGATTGATATATTGAAACATTTAGTGCCTCTGCAATGAATGCGCGCCATTTCCATTTCATATCTTAAATACCTTACAGTTAATTGTTGACGACAATTGCTGCTTAGCATGAAAAAGTTTGTTGACTGTCATTTTTACTCCCAAAAAAAATTTTTATGAGCTTCTAGTTTCGAAACACTAAGTTAATGATTTTTTGAACATGATGATGGACATGACTGCATTTCCATAATTTATAATTCACATGAATGCGCAACAAGCATCAATGACTGTATTAATCAGTGATGTTTTAAGCAATTAACAATATAATGTGTGTATATTATGAGAGAAAAAAAAATATATAAATGTACAGCAATGAAGTTGGAATGACACACGAGCAAGTTGAAAGATATTACAGGCAGAAGTACAATAAACAAGAACAATGTGAGATTTGTAACATAAAGATGATGATAAAAATGTTGTAATGGAATGGCTTTATTTTGTTTTAATGAAGCGCATTTAGAGTCTTAAATTGCTTGTTTTTTGAGATTTATAAAGTTCAATTTGTAGGTTTTCAATTGCTTACTTTGGACTATTACTTAGAAAGAAGCTGATGACAGAGACGGTATTGTATTTGCTATTGGAAGTTGGCAAACGGTAGTCAACGATAAAGCCAGCGTCAGGTGTCATCTAAGGGAGGGCATGGATCACAATTGATCTATACGGCCAGGAAAGTAAGTAATTAAGTACTTCGGATTGACTATGGCCCATCTGATCTCTTAGTTATCGTCTTCTACAAACTTTATTTTGGCAACTTTCAAACTTTCGTGTGTCAGTGGCTCTATTCATTTGTGCTCACATCCAGAGTTATCTGGGGCTGCTTTCTATGACACCCTAACCTAGTCACAATCAATTTTTAATTTTCACACGAAGAGTGTAGGACAGTGATGGCAAACCTGTGTGCCATTAGGATATCTCACGAATCAAATGCTGTGTGCGGTTTTAATTATGGCTTTCCAGCAAATGTGCCATGGCATAAAAAAGGTTAGACACCACTGGTATAGGATCAATTTTCATTAAATTAATTTGGGGGACAAATCCCTCATCGTAAACAGAAATTTCTTTATTTTGCTAGGGTTTTTATGAAAAAATCACAAAGTTAAAGTTCGCAAATCTACTCAGCCTTACTAAGTCCATTAGCTCCATCAAAATATGCTAATAATAAAAAAGAAAGATTTTTCTTTTCATATCAAATAAATATTTTTTTTATTGCATCGAGCATGCTTCTTTGAGTTCTTTATTCATATCCAGATATCTTTCTTTTTGCCTTTTTAACCATCACCATTACAAAATGAGAAGACATTATCAATTAATTTCATATTAAAATGTAATGATAATTGTAAAGACCGCAATCAGTGCTGCGCTTTATTTCTTTTCATATTTTTTTTGTGGATTGCGCTCCTTGAAAAAAAAAAGAGAAAATGAAGAGATGCACACTATGCAAGTAAAAGTCGATAAAAACAATTAATCTGATGAATTTGCGAAAGGCATTAAAGGAAGCAAAAAAATATAATATTGAATATCTCAAAACGAAGGCAAAAAAAGCGAATGCAACAGCACTTAGATTTCAATTGATAACGAACTATGTAATTTTAATTGATCTGATTCATTTAACTCTCCCCAATGCTTTTAATGTTTTGCCGACACTGTAATTTTCTTCTTTTTTTTCTGCGTTTATGCCTTTAACATGCATACACTCGTCTCACTCCTTTCAATACCTTAAGCAAGGTCTTTTGCTTTAGAAAAATTATTATTACAATAACAAGCTACAAGCAGCAGCAACAATAATGTGGAAGTCAATTTAAATATATTTAAATATATTTCGAGTACATGTAACAAGTCAGAAATGAATCTTATTCGAGTAATTAAAATTTATTAAATTGTATAAGATGTCCATTAACATAACATCAGAAGCGCAATTGAAAATATGTTTAAGGCATGGAGCTGGATGGCGATGGAACATAAAAGCAATAAATTGATTGTTAATAATTTTTTTTTCGCCTATGCTTTTGTCGATTTTAATTGCTTTTATGACTTTTTATTATTGTGGTAATGAAAATTGAGTGGCAAATAGAAATTTAATTTCTAAACTGAAGCTATTTCAGGTTTAATTGACTGTGTGAAGATGAATTAGCATTATTTGTTGACAATATTAATAATAACAATAATGTGTGAAGGGTCCAGCCTTTCAGCTGGAGGTACTGCGATTTAATTTGTAAAGAATCTATTGTACCATGCCCTTTGGAACTACAGTTTAAAGTGGGATCGGAACCACTTGCAAAATCTACACATTGTAAAGACACGTGACGTCATAAGACCTGATGTGCCATGCAATGTCCCTAGTCACAATTCGTGTGCGCAAGATGCCGTAAAGAAGTCATCCAGATGCTAGTATTTCCTTGCAAACCTAGCAAAGGAGGCACATTCAGTGCCAAAGACATCAATACTAAACCCAACACATGAACCGAGCTTCATAACTAGAACAGTGAAATGGAAAATAAGCTTCGAAAATTAGAGATGGCCTGGGATTGAACCCAGGACTTTTGGCACAGAAGGTCAGCGCTCTACCATATAGGCTACTGATGCCATTTCACCGCTTGACAATGTTGACAATATTAGTTCAAGTATATTTCTAAATTTTGAGCCGTGCTCTCGCTGTG